GACACCAGGGTTGATGATTGTTAAAAGACTGCGAAAAGTCGGTTTTGGTGAGTTGTACGTCTACATGGGTTGTGCATCTTTTGTTTTACCTTCAAAGTCCTTCAGATAATCAGGATAAACTGTTTCCAACTAATTGCCTGACTGCTCATGTTCCTTGGCCTATTAGACTTTGTTGTAGTAATGTCACCATGTTCCCACATCTCAAGCAATTACGGCTTAATATAATAATAATAACTAGCACAATATAATGATAACTGAATACACAATGGCCAAAACTACAAATATAAAACCAGATTTCCTTGAAACAAGAAAAAATCTTTGAAGAAGCGTGGCTTCCATCTCCAAATCTCAACTTTTTTAACCTCCTTCAGAAAATAATCCTCTGGTTCTCAAGGAATCTGGGTGAGGATCTTTTGTGGGACTGTAGACATTTTTTAACCATGTCTTGCAGACACAGCTGTATGATTAAACTCACATTAAATAAACATGTGCCACCGCAGCCTAAATAACAGAAATGTTCTGCATTCCTGTAATATTTCACCCGGATGACCAATGCCACCCATTATGTACGGAACCAAAAGTATGTCCAACCAAGTATGTTACACAGCATGATGTAAGGAGTACACTGCTGGGTAGATAGCACATGGAATCTGTTCTCTCTACCCCGGGCCACAGTGGAAACGATCCCTCTGTTTCACATTTGCTTAAATTCAAAAATCCTTATTTGCAAGGAAAGCAGGGCATACAGAAGGCTTACACAGACTAGTGAAATGGTCTATTGTCCATCCCTGGTCTTTAGGGACAACATCCCGTTCCAGTTCTTGTAAGTAAACATGGTAAGGTGAGCTTATCTGCATTGTATGCTGTAGTGTAGAACACACTCAAAGGTTGGTTGGGTAATGTGGGCCTTTCAAGAATTCTTAATTCTTAATGCTTGGTGTCAAATATCAACACCTGACCATTGATGTCCACTAAACTCAGATTGTGCTCTACTCTTATGAATCACGAAAACAAAAAGGCTCAGAGCACACTTATGATTTCCTTCAAATCGTGACTTTCTATGGTGGTAGAGCCTGCTTGGACATCTGTAAGATAACATCACAATGTACCCTCGGCTTTACATTCAGAGTCAACCCCTTAACATTGTACAGCATCACCTTCCTCAAATTGTTCACTCATTCAATTTAAATTTAGTTCCATATAACCATACAAAAAGAATTGACTTAATTTATTAAATGACACAGACAGTGATTCACAGTAATTACTATGTATGTGGCATCTAAACCACTTTGAGATATATATTTTTTATTGAACATCCACTAGTTTCCTGCCAGAGGAAATTGTTACAAAGAAAGTCACTACCACATGTGACCTCTTAATTAGCAACAGTTTTCACTGCAGCAAACATGTGACTAATTTTTCTAAATACTCATTGCTGGTCATTTTACAGTTTCTATGATACATCTAGAGAACACTTAGCAATCGAGCAGTGTGTATGTCATTGTTGTCTTCACAGTGGATGACATTTTTCCAATTTCTGTAGGTGGAACTTTCTTTTTTTTCTTTACATTTCTTGCATAGATTGTCAAGTATTGGTGGGCCATATCACAAAAGTTGTTTTTTCATTCAATTCCAAATAATGCCAGGGCCAGAATCAACAACGCCTACACTGAAGAATGCCTCATTAAAAGGCAATACCTGAATACATTTTAACTACTGTTCAGTCTTCTTCATTATTTTATTCAATGCATGTGAAGTATGTGTGTGTGTTTCTCAAATGTTGCTCTGAACAGCAGCAGAGGGGGAAAGAGTACATACACTAAGAAGTGTTTTTATAACCTAGAATGTGGTTGCAATGTTCTACAGTAACAGCAAACAAAAACTGTCTCACTTCTTGTTTGGTACAGGTCTTTTCCCTTCACAACAGTAAGTTGAGAAGTGATTCGGAATTGTCTTCATGTTGAATACTACTACTGTTTGGTACCATTTCAGAGCAGGTAACGGTAGTATAAAACGTAGAGATTAATACTTGAAGGGTCATCAAGTACAAAGTCTAGCCAGTGCATCCTCTCAGTCACAAGACCTCTGGATTTTAAGGCTCGGGCCACATGTTGCCAGAACTCTTCCATTGTTGGATGAGCCCGGTGTTAAGTTGAAATATGCTGCTGTGGAAATATGTGTTGAGCCTATTGTGTCGCAGCATTACACCAACATCAGCAACTTCTCTGCTCGGGGGCTCTGTTGGGCTAAAGCCCCTCTATTATAGTTGTTTGTGCTGGGTCGGCACTTACATTCACAGCGTCCTCTGCAGAGTTAAAGACAGTTAGCCAGCATGGGGGACACGCTGTTTACTATATACAATGGTGATTCTTGTGTTTCAGTCAGTTTTTATCCACCCCCCTTCCCTGTTTTGGTTCCAGTTAGGCATGGATTATATCAGGAAAATAATCGATATAAAGATAGGGTTCTTTTTAGCAAAAAGTCAATTTCTAAGTAAATTTGGCTAGCTTTCTTTTTTAAAATTTACCCACGCCCAAATTCTAGATTTTAAAATCAGATTTTATGCTTATGGTCTTCTACATGACAGTTTTCCTAAAATACTTTTTTTATTTTTTTTTAAATCACAATCTATCGCTTTGCTAAGAACATTGCAATATATTGAATTTTAACCCCTGTATCATACGTATCGCATCACCAGATATACAGCCCTAATGATACAGGACAGACTGCTTAACAGCCCTGAAACTGAAGGTCCTCAATCACAACTGTTGAATAATGAGCTTGTTATGATGCTTAAAAGTTAAAAAAGGGAGATTCTGATGACTCTGTCCACCAGCTGTCATTTAACTCAAAAACTTGATACAAGATAACTGCAAGCTATCAGTGTAAAACTGACATAGGCAACCACCTAGATTGTCTGTCTAGTGAAAGACTCACCACTTTCCTTTCTTTCATTTTTGAATAGCCACAGTATACAAGTATACAAAGTAGTGTTTCTTCAAGTATATTAACCAGAGAAGATCCGAAAGTTTTGTTTCTGTTGTATGGCCAACTTGCAGAATAACTTGCAGACGACAGCTGTTAACTAACTTTCACTGAGTGAGACTGAGTAGAAGCTCAGTGGGGTTGTCTCATGTCCCTGTATGCACTAATATTTGGACCAACAATGGTAGGAAGATGGGTTCAATGTGTGACTCAGCGATTACAAAGGAAACAGGGAGGACAGCATAAGGTGACATGTCAACCCACATCCACAGAGATTTACAGCTCATGCCTCAGCCGGAGAGCAAACAGGACGCCCTGTTCTGGCACTTTATGAACAGTCACATGCAGGAGACACAGCTGATAAAGCAATTTGCTACATTGTTCATCACAGAGGGATCATCTGCACTCAGTTTGACCCCCCTAACACATAAGCTTATGGTTATTTTTGATTAGTTGTACACTAGTTGATATCATACTGACTGACGCAAGTTTCTGTATTAAGCCATTTATAGTCTCATTGTTTTTACAGAACGGGAGATATGTACGTGACAAAAAGGCTTTCCTGTTTCCTGATGGGAAACTTCTACTTCCAAATGCACTGTTGCACCTCATCATAGTACAGTGCACAGTAGGAAGGTGGACTGAAACATGCTGTTATCAGTATAATATTAAAATCGACTTAGAACCATTCAGCAAAAAGCTCTTTGTGTCTGTGTGTTACAGTTGGGCAATATGTTACTCAATATCTTTGGGCCAGCCACATTTTTGTGGAGAAAAAAAGTGATGGTAAAAACTGACACACACAACCACCTATCGAGTGAAAGACACCTACAGTACCCGTCATTGTTCTAGGGCTGACACCTTGTGGTCGGTTGGTTGACTGTTTGGCCGATATGCACTCCAACCAAATCATCATTAGTCCAACAATCACTGGTGTTAGTTTAATAAGGGGGAAAGCGTTTCTTGATCTGTTATTTTCAGTGGAACATATGCAGCATGATGTATGGTGATGTACATTTAATTCAATTCAGTTTTATTGTATAGCGCCAATTCATAACAAAAGTTATCTCAGGACACTTTTCAAATAGAGCAGGTCTAGACCGAACTCCTTATTAAATTATTTACAGAGACCCAACAGTTCAACATATGAACATATAGACTTCAAAGTTGGAATCTGTAAGTTTGCCACGTTTTATGCTGTTTTTAGTGTTCATTTTGTTGTTGTTTGTTGAACTGTTGAAGGATGGGGGATTTTGGACTAACGTAATACTGAGGGACAGTAAAGAGAACCTGTGTCAACTGTAATCCCATTTTGAAGACAACTAAATAATGAAAGTAGAAGGTTGGATGTTGTTTTTTCTGGAGCTGCAGCACTATACTGCGTTACACTGCCTTGTACTGCTTTATACTGCGTTACACTGCCTTATACTGTGTTACACTGCTTTATACTGCGTTACACTGCCTAATACTGCCTTATACTGCGTTATACTGCGTTACACTGCCTAATACTGCCTTATACTGCGTAACACTGCTTTATACTGCTTTACACTGCCTAATACTGCCTTATACTGCCTTATACTGCGTTACACTGCCTTATACTGCGTTAAACTGCGTGAGCTTTGTTGTTGTACAGAAGCCTGTGTTGCTCTGCAATGTGTAGATAAACGCATGTGTGCATTTGTGTGTTGCTGCTGTATGTAACTTTATCTGATGCCCCCACCCCTTTTCTTCGTCAACCTACATTGTACTCTATGAAAAAGGTTACTGGTCCTCTCGCTCTGTGAGACAAAAGCAACACTGCTATATGTTTATTTACAAAGCACTCCTAAACAAATGACCAATTTACATCACTTTACATAACTTTACATCTCTTTACATCTCTTTACTATCAGTCCTCAGGGTAGGAGCCTATCAGACACGCTCTTACACTTCATGCTCCCTGGGTTAACCGTGAACTCAGAGAGACTGCTCTTAGATTTTATGCAGATCACAACTGCTGTGTACTAATTCAGGAGCTTGGGCTCCCTCTGTGGTGGAATGAGATACCAAACTCGATTCAGCGTCTGCTGAATATGTAAATGTAAAGGAGTACGCAAGACCTGTCTGACAGTGCTTGTGTGTTCAAAGGCTCCTCTGACTGAGGAGTATAACCTGCCATTTAGCAGATAGCTGTAGTCATGGTCACGGTGGTCATCAGACAGAAGATACAAATAAGAAATACTATTAAATCGCCACAGAAACAACATTCATCCACAACACTCCATGCCAGATTTCAGCGTCCTAGGGCCAGAACTGTGGCCGTCAAACGGAGGGTCACCGACCGCTACAGAGCGAGCTGTTGAGCTGCTGATTGTAGTTTAAAAAAGACACCACACACCATCTCAACACACCTTCTACACACCTTCTACACGCTCCAAAAGCCCCGAGGAACATACTTCACAAGTAAATACCTGTGCGTAAGTACCACGTGGTGACGCAGGAACCATCCTCAGCAAATCCAAACGACGCACAGGTGATAATGTAACAGCGACTACTTCCAGTTGGCCTAACCATGTCAGCTCCTCCACTCGGGTCTCTACATATCTGCGGTGAGTGGGACACTTGCGGGGAATCTTGTGCGTTTGTGCCGGGTGCGTTCACTCCGAGCGGGGATCATCTGATTGATCCGGAACACTCCAGTCGGCTTTATTAAAACAGGTTCTGTCTGCCTGCTGGATGTGGTCCAACTGCGCGACTTTTCAGTATTATCTTCTATTTCATGTTCAAAAGACAGGTTTTTACCTGTGAGCTGTGCGTTCGGAGTGGCTGACTTGTTTCCTGACTAATCCATGTCTGCAGTGACCGAGGGGAGGGGGTGCTCACACTAACTCACCTGTTGTATCCTCACATTCTGTCGGTTGTTTTGGTGGTCATACTTGGCCATCTTCATTTTGCGCTGCAACACTGTGAACATTTATTTATCTGAATTGAACCCACCCCCCTCTTTTACCTCCACAGTTGATACTGTTTTGACCCAAGGGCGGCCCACACGGTGTTTATTTGCATTACAGTCTACAGCACAAAGAGTAAAGTATGCACTAACAACAGACTGCTAGTGCTAAAGCTTGAATTAAATTGAAGCTGAAATTGTTAAATCAATTATCCAATCAAGAGAAAAATAATCTTCAACTGTTGTGTTAAAGGTTTGGTCCTTTCAGTCATTTTAAAAACTCTAATCCCAAATATTTTATTGTTCCAGATTTTCAAATGTGAAGATTTGATGCTTTTATTTATCATGCGGACAAAACATTTGAAGTCCGTGCCTTGGCGTATTGGGAATTGTGTGGGACAGTTTTGCAGTGGTCCCAGGAATTATTTTCATTATCAGCTGATTATTGAAAAATAAAAACAATCAAAGTGATTGCAGATTAACTTTCTGTCAATTGACTAAATGATTAATCCACTTATCATTTTAGATCTACCTGGAACAACATATGCCAAATTCTGTCTGAAACTGCTGTAGCTATAGTAGTGCTATCCCACTGATGTTTTAAAATAACAATTTGGCAGATAGCCGATGGCAATGTTGTTATCTATTTGTCCTTTTGTGCCAGGGAAACAACAAAATGTACAAAGATAAGCCTCTGCCTTGTTACAGCTCAGTCTATTTCTCTTCTAATCCAAGATGTGAGACTCAGAGCTGAACAGCTGTTCACTGTCCACACTGCTGCGTGGAGCACACCAGTATTTTCATGCGAGTTGTGCCAGTGCTGGAAAATGGAAGTGATTTTCTCCAATATCTGACTTGGAAATAACCAACACAGCATTTAGCCAGGGCAAAAATTGATGCAACACAACAGATAAATATCAGCCACTGATACTGATGAACGCCATTTTATTTGCCGATAGGCCTATGTCAGTCGGCAAGGCAAATATTGACCGATACGGATGTTCAACCGATGTATTGGTGTAACCCTACACTTAAGGTCTTGGACAGTCCAGGTAGTACAAGGATTCGTTTTAAAGTCTCACTCCCAAAACCAGAGATACTTTGAATTTTAGTTTTATTGATCAGTTCACAGTAGAGACAAAAGGAAACATCAGTAGAGAGAGGATAATGCTGTAACATAGTTTTTAATTAATGCGCTGAAAATACTGTTTTTGTCTGAATGAGGTAATGAATTAATTCAATCTCCAAATAGTTGCCAATTAAGTTGATGAATGACTCAATTAATCATTCCAGGACTTAACTCTTAAATGTGTTGCCCAAGCATGCAAAATCCTGTCAATATGAGTCAATATGATCTTAGTTGTTTCTCTCTTTCTCAGGTGCCATGTGCTTCTATGACATCCTGACGTTACAGTGACCAAGAGGAGGAGGGACAAGGAAGTGGAGGAGAGCTGTGAACCTAACCAGGAGTTCTCAGGAGAGGTGGACGAAAGAGCATGTTGAATCTGTTTGAGCTGAAGGAATGACATTGAGCTTTAACCTGGAGCTGTGCACTGCCTGATCACTATGAGGGAGTGGAGCTTTTGCTTCACACAGCGGAGGAAGATCAGTTACGGAGCACCCAGACTGCCGAAGAGCCTGACAAAAGCCTACTGGACTTGACAACATCAAAAAGAGGAGCCAGTTGGTAGGACAGGAGGGAAAGAGGATACGTGTGAGGGGAGACAGATGATGGAAGATAAAGTGGGGGGATGACAGTCAAGTCGATTAGATTAAAATTAAGAGTCAAATGAGAAGTGAAGCTCAAGAGTGAAAGGAGGCAGAGATGAAATAGCATACTGTCAGAAAAGGAAGAGACAGGTAAGACAGAGAAAGAGACAGCTCCCGGAGAGCAGAAGTCTAGACAGATCCGGAGTGCCGTCAGTGTTCAGAGATCAGCAGAAAGAAATATTAGTCACGATGTTCATGAACTTCCGTCGGATCCACAAGTGCCAGTGTGTGCAGCTGCTGACCACAGGCCTGATTCTGTGTGTGGTGATGGTCTGCTGGGAGGAGCTGGACCACCATGTGGTCAGCCACATGAGATCCTACACTTACCGCTACCTGGTCAACAGCTATGACTTTCTCAATTCTTCCTTCGCCATCACCTCAAACCATCACAACAGAGAGGATGGTTCTGACGGTGAGGACAGTGAGTTAGTGAACTATGCATACCTCATCAACCACCCAGGTAAATGTGGAGGTGCCGGTGCAGATGGGAAAAGCTGGGATGATGTCCTACTACTACTGTTTGTGAAATCATCACCGGAGAACTTTGAGCGGCGCCAGGCCATCAGGGACACGTGGGGAAACGAGAGCTTTGTATGGTCAAAACTGGGGGCAAGTGTGAGGTTGGTGTTTGCCCTTGGTGTGCACCCAGATGCTGAGCAGAGATCCAGGGTGCAAAGCGCACTGCTGCAGGAGGACCAGGCCTATGGAGACCTGATCCAGCAGAACTTTTTGGACACCTTTCATAACCTGACTACCAAATTGATTCTGCAGTTCCACTGGGGCCACGAATACTGCCCTCAGGCCCATTTTCTCATGTCTGCGGATGACGACATCTTCGTCCACATGCCCAATTTGGTGAAGTACCTGCGGGAGCTCCTGAGTACAAAAACAGGGGCCAGAAACCTGTGGGTGGGGCATGTACACAGAGGAGCCCCTCCAGTTCGCCGTAAAAAAAGCAAATATCATGTTCCCGATGATCTGTACCCCTGGCCTTCCTACCCAGACTACACTGCTGGAGCAGGGTACGTGGTTTCAGGGGATGTGGCTGCTAAGATCTACCATGCAACTCTGGTGCTGAACTCCTCCATATACATTGACGACGTCTTCATGGGCATTTGTGCCAAGGCCATGGGGGTCTCTCCCCAGGAGCATGTGTACTTTTCAGGGGAGGGCAAAGCTCCATATCACCCCTGCATCTATGATCACATGATCACATCGCATGGTCATGCCAAGGATGTGCGCTCACTATGGCAGGCAGCAACAGACCCTACAGTGCACAGCCACTCTAGAGGATTTATGGGTAGTCTTTACTGCACAGCAGTGAGAGTGATGATGCTGTGTCTACCATATTACCAAAACACGTACTCGTGTATGGCTGCTTTTACATGAATGCTCTTAAGTTGAAGGACTGCTGAATGTGCCAACCAAAGAAATGGCAGTACCTCACACAAATAGTTTTTTTTCCATTTCCATGTTAATTTTTACTGTTTGCTGGTGATATTGTATGTGTTTGCTATCTTGTAATAAAGACCAAAACATTTGTGTTAAGTAAAGAAATGCACTCAGTTGTTATTCAGTTATCAGCAGGATCAGTTCTTACCAATATCTTTGGGTGTTGGGCTGTTGGATGGACAAAATCAGAAGACATTTGAAGATGTCACCTTAGACCCTGAGAAGCTAGAAAGGGTTATTTGTTTACAACTTTTTGACTTTAGACTGCCTTATGACAAATTGATTAATAAAGAAAATAACTGCCAGATTAATAATGATGATAATCATCAGTTTTGGCAAAAATTTCAATTTTTCAAAACAAGAAAGAAACATGAGGATAGCCAGACAAGAATGTCAATATTGGATGTTGAATATAATTCCTAGGAGACTGGCCTGGAGCAAAGAACGGGTGTTTGTTAATTCATTATTTTAATTTGTGATCACTGGTTTTACAGGGGCTTGGATCATAACCTTACAGTTCCAGTTATTATTTATTATTTCCTATTATTTAGTATATTGCCTGTTTGCACCGTGGGTCAGAGAGGACTGAAATTTCATCTGGGCTGTATGTCGTGCATGTATAGCATATTTGACAATAAAGCTGACTTTGACTTATGCAAACTGAACAGGAGCCAAGAAGAAGGAAGGAAATTGGGCTGAATTCACAAATCAGATAAAAAAACCATACAGATAGATGTCCCTGAGGAATAGACATATTTAGCCTGAAATGTTCTGTTGGCATTTCCTTTTGAGTGGCCACAAAAACTTGCATTAGCCTGCCTATTCTTGGAACCTTGAACTTTGCATTCGATTTTAGTTCTGCTCTGACTGACTGACTCACTCTCAGAAGGCTGAAAAAGTGCATCAGACATTTCCTATTATACATAGAACCTGAAGTTATGGAACGTAACCAACATTTCATATCCTTCTGAACGCTATCGCTACCATAGACATATCACTACCCACAAGCACAAACACACCTACTTCACAAGAAATCTGTGACTACTCCATACCTTGCCAATATGTCAGAACGCAAAAGCCCATAACAGTACATCAGGGTTCTCAAACTTGTCTTGGGGCCACTGCTGGTATTATCATGTCATTCAGTGCTCAAGTGCTACAAGAAAGTGGAATATTCTGAAAATATTTCCATTACAAACATCACACTTAACCAAAGAAACATGTAATATTATCTATATTGTTGACAGCCAAACAACAAATAAAGCCCAGAAACCTTGCTCTGTTCTTATCAACCATTTGCATGCTGACACCTTTGACCTTTGCCATTATTTTTATGATTTTTACATTTTTATTATAGAATTGTGTTTTTTATCATTATTATTGTATATGAATTATATATATTGAATTGAAACAAACTAGAAAAACAAACAAAAAGGGAGGCTGGCAGTTTGTGACCCCTGCAGTACATCATATACCCACTAGACAGTACAATACCTGATATTCAGCATGAGGGAATGAAACTGAAAAACAACACGAATTCTACTGCAGACCATGATTACGCACTCTAACAGTCCAGCTGAGAGCCAAGTAGGAGAGAAAAGAGCTAAGAGGCACTGTTAGAGCACTTACTACAGAGTTATAGAGAAATGAGAGACTCACAGAGAAAGGAATGAAAGAGCAGGGGGAGTTAATGGATAGTTAGAATAGTCATTATTATAATAAATAAGTTCCCTCTCAGTTTAAACTTCTGAAGTTATGAGTGGAAAGTTTTGACTCGTATGTAGCTTAACCATGTCCAGCCATATAGTTTTTTTTAGTCTTCCTCCTCTACGCCACCACTCGGTTTCCTTCCCTTTTCTCCGCTCTGTCCGCCTGCGTTTCCTGTGATTCTCTCTTGTCCCTCATCGCTGCTGGTCTGCTACATCCTGTTACGCTGTGGTTTTTACAATAAAATCCCAGACAGGCCGAATCACTAAGAGCATGCAGATTTGCTGGCATCATGACCTTAAAAGGAACTTTTTTTTACTGCTGGGAAAACATTTGTGGGTCCCACAGATGGAAAGCATTCACTAGCAAAACAACAGTCATGTGTTCAACAAGTGATCTTGTTGATTTTATAGTTGTTTTTCATTTGGTTTAATAAAACCTAGATAGCTTCTTCATATGTGAACACGCCACCAACTGACCAATCCAAAAAGTGGTCTGTGAGCAGTTCCTCTGATTTACATAAAAAACTTTTAAAGAAACTTTTAAACCAACTTTGACTAGATAAATGATGCAAACAAATAAAAAATAATACAAGAGGCCCACTTAATGGTATAATCTGGTGCAATGAATATTCAAGCAGGAGACCACTGAGAGAGGTACAGTCATGTGAAAAGTAACAGACCGCTGCTCTTTTCTCTTGTGTTGTGGTGCTGAATGAAGAGCAGAAGCTGTTTCCCACTTACTAAGTGCATTTCCACCCACCTATTCCTGAGTGCATTTGTAATTCACATTTAACTTCCCACTGAAGAGAAACTGCAGCAGACAAAAACATTAGACCTAGACTCTAATGTTCCTCACATGAATACATTAAAATGTTTGTTTGGGATTTGACTGCCAGTCTTCTAATCAAATCATCTCATAGTGCCTTCTTCTGCAATGGTTATGGCACTTAACTCTCAGTTTAACACATAGACATCAATATGCAACTTACACAAGCAATATGCAGAAATCTGAAGCAGACATACACAGAAATGTGACTTTTCAATGAAGGAGTTGACATCTTGTTTGATTTTTTGAGGTAATTTACCTTTTTTATGGAAAAACCAGACACAAATATTTTATTTGTCTTAATAAATGTCTGGAGATGATCTTTAAACAAAGTAGATGTGTATAGAAATACTAAATTGCTCTGATTTGACTGCCTCCATACAGCGCAGGGTAAAATTAAACATGGATAAATTCCACACTGGAGTCCCACATCACTACTTGCACTGTCACCTGGATGTTAACTGTTATGCCACCTGTGTCTGAAATGTGCTCCTCACACACACAGTGCATGTGGTAAGTGCTATGAATCACCATACTTCACCTTACTTCAAACCATGCACAGAAGGATGGCTTATAACTAATACTGTAGCAGTGGTGGAATAGGTGAATATAGCACTGCTATGACTCAGAGAATGACACAGTCGTGTTGTCTCTTCAGTATGTTAACACTCAGCTATGGCCTGTGTGCTGTCCTTACCTGCGCCTGTTGGACAGACTCTCCTCTGTCTCGTTGGTCACAACGACATGGGTGGAGCCTCCTTGGCTTTCCTCATGCATCACCTCAATCTGTGACACACAAACACACACATAAACACATAGCTTTAATTATTAGGGGAGGGGCTTTTTATATTAAATAATAACTTCTGTCAACTTGTAAAGCCCGAAAATATCACGTCTTTATCAGGGGTTTGTTTGCATTCAGGTGGTCATCAGTCACTGGTAAATATTTTTTCTGGACCAACAGTAAGGCTGCTGCAAAATCAAGATTACAAGCTGCTTTCTACTCCTGTTAGCAGCCTGGATATGTAATAATGAAGTTCAGCATAAGCCTCAGCATATCAGGAAGACCTTCTCATTATGCCTCATTCGTTCACAATTCTCTGACTCTGCTTTCTTATCAGCTGACAGTGGGCATTTACTCTTTCAGTCAAACCAATCAGATGCAGCCATAATCTCCTCCAGCCAATCATGTTTCTCCTGTCAAACTATAAATCTGTTCTCCTCTCTGCTGCTGTCATTTTGTTGCAAAATCGTTCAACTACAATGACGTCATGATGGGGCCAAATCGTTTCTCATCTTCATTGTGCACATTTAATATATTTGTTTAAAAAATTGAATTCCTTCTGATTGAAATATTGTTTGCAAATAGCTAAAGACAGATGAAACACTCTGCTACTTGGTCAGGGATTTAAGGGCAACCTTTTGGTGTAATAAGGGATAAGGAAGATGTTATGTTGTGAATTCTGAACTGAGACACAGCTTTAGTATGTGGTGGTGTGGGGTTTGTGACGAACCTCGTCACTCACTGTTCTCTAGGTGGAAATAATACCTGCAGGGGACCAACAACAAAGCAATAATTACTTGAATCCGTTGGAAGGTTCCACTAACACTAGTTGAGAACGGTGTCTCTATTCAGATAAAATCCAAAACCAATGTTGGGTGTGAACAGTTCATAAAAAGTTATTAACACATTAATGGCAAACAACTATATTTGGTATGTTAAGGAAAAGGCCCACAGATTTTTGCTGTGGAAACAATCACAAACATAAGTTTTACATTAATTTGACATGTTAAACATCAGATTTACAGTGGTTTAAATCACATATTAATGAAGTTGAAATTGTTCTGTATCCAACAGTAGCAAGCATTTGATATAACTCTATATAGTTTTTACACGTTCTATGATTTCTCATTTTATTCCATAAGAAGACATTATAAAATGTCACTAAAGTCAGCACAATAGTAATACTGGACCAAGAAAAAGCAATTTTTTTCTTTTTCAGTCTGAATTGTAACAGTCCAGAATATGCTGTGTTTCCCTGGAAAATCAGAAAGCAACTCCTAGTGACGAAAAGAAGTAAAGTAAGAACCAGCGCTTAACAATTTCAATTAATTGGTGATGTAAAGTGAATTGTAAAATTCCACTGCAGAAATGAATGGGTGACTGAGACATGGCCGACCTTGATCAATCGCGTAAGGGATCAGGAAGGAGGTGCCAGAAACCCACTTCACTGTTCCACCCGACAGCAAAACCATACATCATTTCTCTTTTGCTCTGCCTATGTTACAGTTACAATATGCCACAGACATTGGCGTGCCGTGAGGAATGCAAGATGCTGCATTAGTTTGACCTTTAGTTATGGGTGCATGGCTGACTATCGGTTTAGTTTTAGGTACATGTATTCTGACAGAAACTCCAGAGACTCAGCAGAATTTATTTCACTTGGAAAAATCTGCCTAGTTGAACGCTCGCAGTTCAGCACAGGTTTCTTTAAGCATGTTCTAGGAGCTCGATACAACCAGTGACAAGAAGGACTTGGTAGGCTTTTGATTCTGTCACTGACTGGCAGCTCTGTCCTCATCAGTTATGGAGGAGGGTTTATGGTCTAACACACCAACACTATCACTACACAGACAGACCCTGTTTGTCAGCAGCACAAAATAACCTCAGGATGCGCATCCAAATTATGCACACTGTAAACCAATTAATGAGATCAGAGCAAAATCGCAGCAGAGCAGCAAACAGCAGCAGGGTAGCATACTGATTAGTGAGACCGTCCTGCTGGAGGGTCTTTGTTCAGACCACAATTGCCTCTGCTGACAAAACACTGAATTCCACACCGGCTTCAGGGCTGCTGTTCTGGAGGTGACCTCTGACCTACCTCTGTGAGGACAGTTAGTGGGTTCTAATGGAGACTGGTAGAGCATTCTATGATAAAATCAGCTTTTGCCTTTTTTTTGTTAGTTTGCTTGTTATCTTCACTTCTGTGCAACAGAGTGAAGATGGAGCCTGTGGCAGATCGCTGACATATTGAAGGAGCCAGGAATTTAAGACAAAGTCAAAATCTGCTAGGCTGCTCCCTTCCAAGACATTTAAAATATGTAACAGAGGTGTTGGGGGGTGGGTGGGGGCAAATATCTATGTGAGGAATGGATATGTGGTTATGTGGTGTGTGACAAGGTTATCGTAGTTAACTAAAACTAAACTGAAAACTAAACTAGGTGTGAAAATAAATCTTAGTTAACTGAATAGAAATAAAAATTGAAATAATACTGTGTACTAGTACTACTAAAAAAAAAAAAAAGAAATACAGCACATGTCTTCAGTTTCAGGCTTTGTCAGTTTGTTCAAATTAGTCACACAACAATGACGGTGACGTGAGTGTACTGTGACCATGTGACTAACACTGAAACTAATAAAAGTGAACTAAAACTAGACTAACACAAGCAAACCCACTCTGGAAACGACCTGAATCTATACTGAAAACCTGGTTCCAGCTGGGTACCAACTTTTCAGGTTTCTAACTAATGTATTTTTGATTGAAATGAAGTCAATAAGGTGACTGTGTGGGTACCTGTATTGTAGCTCTTCTATGTCAAAGGCTCTCCTGCTGTTTGTTTGGGTCTGTGGGGGAGTGCCAGTACATAAACGTGGTGTCTGCAGTCTTTACATTAGACCTGCAATAATTAGATTCTGGATTGTTTGCCTGTGTTCAGTGAAATGGAACTGTGCACTCATACTGATGCTTTGTACTGATGCGTTCCTGCTACTTTAACAGAAGGTACCTTTCATTGACAGTGCTTTGGTGGAAACTGAACTTTCATGAATGTCATCAAAGATCATGCATTTCTCAGTAATTCAATCTGACACGTGGTATCCTTGGAAGTACTGTTCACAGGTTGAATAGAAATCTAAACTGTCTGCACAATATTATCAGTACATTTCTAAAGATACACATCCCTAACAAAGACTTAAAACAAGAGAAGTATTGTTAGTAACCAACATTGAAATCAAAATATCAGGATTGGCACTGGTATCAATGCTGTGCCCTAGTGTCATAGTCAGCTGCTCCTCTTTTTCACATGAACAGAAAAAGAAAGTTACTTGCTGAAAGGGTTTTATGTTGCAGTGAGATTTCAAAGTGGGATCGGAGGGTAGCAGGGTACCTTGATGCCTCCTTTGGCCTTGCGTATGTTCTTCTTCTTGTTGGGATCAGCTTCAGCTGGCTGCTTGCCACTGTTAGAGTTATCCGATGCTCTCCGAGCCAGAGCTGAAAAGAATTGAGAGTACAAAGCATAAGTAACTCTAACTATTTCTTTCTTCAGAGCTTGTGTTACATTCCATGCATGCAGTCTCAAGATGCAACAAACAAGTTTATACAATACTGTTGAAGTTAGTTGCTCTGGGTGTTGATCATGTCACAGGCAGTAAAAGTCAACCTGCTACACCAGGCTCATCACCTCTGCCTATATTAGTTATAACAATATCTAACTCACGCTGCTGGCTCCCTGTTGTTCTGGGGGGGTTTTTCAGTGTGGGCCGTTTAGGAGAGGACTCGGGCCGTGGGGCAACTGGCTGGACAGGCCTCGTCTGTTTGGCCGAAAGTCTCTTCAGACTCACATGGCGCTTCTCAAACATCTCCTGGACATCCTCCAGGCGCTTCAGTGCCTTCAGGACACTGGCCTGCAGGCGGAGAGCTCACTATTAAGCCTTGTCCTCCACAACAGAATATCCAGTCACCCTGAAAAACTAGTGCTTTTGTGTGTCATACCTTGATATCCTCGGACAGGACAACCTCATACTGGTTGTGGAGGTTCCTCAGTTCGGTCAGATGGTTCTTTTCTGCCGACTCCAGAAAGTGTTCGATGTCGGTCAGCGCTGTCTCTGCCCCTTCCTGTGACTGACACTTATCCACAGCCTGGGAGGCCAGCAGGTAAATGCCAGACTCACACCACTGGTTTACCTGTGCACAGCAAAAAACAGAAAACCCAACAAGTGCTCATAAGTAATTCAGTTATCTTTGCCAGTTTTTCTGCCTCATGACATGATAACATGATAACAGTTTTGGCCATAATTTCTATCGGTCATCATGACACCATGCTCACCAAATTGCTGGATATCATTGCGTCAACAAAGTTTATCCAGGAGATCTAAACAGTGCAGGGAATCCAATGTGTTTCTATCGACGTGTTTAAGTCATATCATATCCTTACCTTATCAATGCCCATGTGTATCTGCAGGGATTTGGACAAGATATCCATCTTCTTCTTGGCCTCATTGCTGAAGTCGTCACAGACCCGCCGCAGCTCCACACATTTGGGTCGAATGGAGTCCACAGCATAGTGATTGCTCTGGATCAGCTGGTCCCCATGCAGTGCGTGGAGCTGGGCCTTTTCTAGAGTGGGCTGGAAGAAGAACAATTCAGAATATAATAATGCCAATTTAAGTTGTACAAACAAAATCTTCGTGGGGGTCCACAGTCAGCTGTGTCTACTGAGGTAAATATATGTAGATGGCTTCTGATTATTGCTTTCTAATCAAAGGTGCCGGTTTAAGAGCCTATATAAAGTACTGTTGCAGTGGACATCGTAGGATCCTTTTGTATAAGATTTCCATGTAGCTATGTTCCAGTTAAGTGGTTGTAGATGTTTGATTTAATAGCTTTGACCACTGATGAAATAGTCTTGAGTAATAGTTTGAGTGTGTGTGTGTGTGTGTGTGTGTGTGTGTGTGTGTGTGTGTGGGGGGGGGGCTTCCATCTTCGGGGACACATTTCAGACTGAAGCTGTTCTTTTGGGTCAGTATGGTTAGGTTAAGGGAAAGTCTCCAGGAAATGAATGTAAGTCTATGTAATGTCACCAAATGTCATCTAAGTAAACATGTGCGTGTCCTGACTTAGGCTACCTTCGGGGACACATTTCAAATTAAAGACCAGTTAACTGGGCTATCTGGGGACAAAAGTCATGTCCCTAATTTAGAAAAGGCTGAGTTCTGGGTCAGTGGTGTTAGGGTTAGGGTTAGGGATCGGGTACATCTCCAAAAATCTGAACGCAAGTTTATTTGATTTCTTCAAAAGTTACAGACATAAATGTGTGTGTGTGTGTGTGTTGACTGACCTGAGCCTTCTCCCCCAGTGTTTTCAGTTCCGTTAGCAGCTGTTCAACTCTGGCCACACAATCCCCGATATCTGATAGTCCAGTTAGACTGTCCATCAAGCTGTCTAGAGACACTTTGACCTGGAGAACCAAAGAGGGGACAGAGACAAAGACTGAGAAAAGACAGAGAAATTCATTATGTTACCCACTTATCCACAGTGTAATTCTATTTATTTTCTCATGTTCAGATTCAGCTTCACTTCAGAATATTCAGAACAATGTCACCATTGATTATCTGATATCTATAATGTCTCAAAATCATCTTATTGGCAAAAAAACATATCTGCTAGTTTAGTTTGGGTCAGTATACCACAGTCATTGTATTTACAACTTCCAAACTATTTGTTAAGTGTGTTTTTCAAAGTAAGATTTCACAGCTGAAGTCGTTTGAAGCCGTATGAAGAGCAGCCACAGGCGGGATCCAAAGGTTGCAGGCCAAAGGCAGCCAGGCAGACAGACAGACAGACAGACAGATCTACAGATATACCTCTCTGAAGTCCTGTTCAAAGTGGCGTAGCTGCAGGCACTGCTCCAGTTTCAGATGGTGTTTACACCAGAACTGTTCAAAGGCATTCTCCGTCTCATCCAGCTGGGCAAGAAGCCTGCATTCACACAAAAGGAACTTTATTACACACACACACTGGGGCACACTACTATAGGGCTGCATGGCAATAATATAGACTGAGATACATTTGTAATACATAATAAAAGCTTTGACGGCTGTCACCTCTCCACAGTGGTTTGGTTCTCCATCTCGTCCGGGTTGAGTTTGTGATTCTCTGACTTGGCTGCTTGCTCCTTTATACAACCTAACAAGGTGGTGCCCTGCTTCAGAGCCAGCTTCAGTTCATCCTGGTTAAGAGACATAGAAAGAATCGAAATAACATTAATATCTAGCTAGCTAGCTTGGCCATCCCCACCTTGTCATGCAGAGTCTCACAAAGCGATGCTGCTTTTCCTTTCCAGAGGAAGGACTCCTCTTCAGCTCTTTCACAGGCAGCTTGACATAACAGGAAGAATGTTTTGGCTTTTCTTTTTTCGGATTTTGGTGTCACTGAAGTGTTACCAACGAGGGATATATGAAAGACATTTTGTGTCCATGTCCTGGTGCTACAGCCATGCTCACACCAGCATAAACCAGGAAAAATTATAGACTTAAATTAATTTATTTTAGTGGAATTGCTGCGAACTGTGGCTCACAGAGTTTCCATTTTGATTAACTTTGACCAGCAAATGTGCTCAATTGATCAAAAGTAAGCAATTTTGCCTGTGCTGGCCTTCAAGGGAAATATGATACATACCACTTCCTGGTGTTTGCCAAGTAGGTTTTTCATTTGCATCGGCAAACTGGTGTATTTGGGGATCATTTTTTATTGTTAGCTACCTCCACTGTTTCTCTCCAATCAGCGTGAAAATCTTATGGTTTTTGCATATGTATTTGTGTGTTAAATGTACTAAATCACCTTGAGGTTGTTGTGTTTGTCGGTGTGGGCTGTGAGCAGGTCTTTGGTGCACTGGACGTCATTGGGCAGCTCTGTCTCTGCCAGGTCTGTCCCAAACTTCTGTAACATCTGGGCTGTGGTTTTCACCGTCATGGCAAAGTTCTCTATGGCCTATAAAGAAAAAGATTGACACATGACTGCCGCATCCTACAATGCAACTGACCACACTGCCACTGCAAGTACAACTAGTTCTACTTGCCTTAATACACTAGTATTAGGGTTAAGATTTACAGTAATTAGTAGTGTGTGTTATCTTACAGTTCGGTGGTGTATCCACTGACTGTGACAGTACTCCAGGCTTCCTCCTAGCTCCCGGGTCAGCTCGCCTTTATCCACATAGCTGTGCAGGTCCGACAGTGAGTTCAGCATCACAATCTGCAAACACATTCAATGCATCACTACAAGTGCTTTGGATCATTATCATAGAAAGCTAACCCTAATTGAGAGGAACATCAGTGTCTCTTTAAAGATTTCTACTGAACGTGCTTCTTTAACACGTAGTCGAAGGCCATTCCAAAGATGAAGGGCACGGTAGAAAAATGCTCTGTAACCAACAGATTTTTTTTGGTAGGAATGACCAGGAGACCAGCATTGGCGTGCTGGACTATATGGGATAATTACCTCTGATTAGTAATGGTGCAAGTCCATGCAGGGCCTTATAAATCAAAGGAGGAACCTTATAATCAGCTCTAGCCAGTGAAAAAAGGCTAGGATGGGTGTTATATGATCGTTTGGTCAGGATTCTAGCTGTAGCACTCTGATCAAGCTGAAGAGAGAGATTCCAACAAAAGATGCTAGTGAGTTGCATTATAGGAAGGTAGGATCAAGTGTTTTTGGAGTCTCATACTAGGGGTTAAAAGTCACTGGAGTACCAGGTTAGAACCAATACATATCAAACTCACTAAAAACACAACAACCATTCTATATCTAACCTATATATATCCTTAAATTTTAAGCCAACTCTATTTAAACATAGTCTGACAAAGAATCCAAAGGTTGACATTTAGGGTCCTTTTTGCCCTTGGAATATTTTTTCCCCTTTTAGAGTTTTGGGTGTTTTTGGATTAATATAAGGTCTCAGAAAATCTGAATACACAGTTTGCTCGTCATTTAGTGTAAGCTCTCTCTCTTTGTTGCTACTGTCAGTGTGAGAGGAAATACAAAAATAAAAGTGGTTCATACTTGCAGTGCACTACTTTGGGTTTGGCAGAGGTTTGAGATTAGATGGGGCGGGCTGACTGGGCAGTTGCTGTTATTAACAAAACCAAGTTGATGTCTCTATTTTTCTTTTTTTTTTCATTTGTTGGTTTGTTCTGGCAACCTCAGGGAAGTTTAAATTCAAGTTTGATGTGCACATAAGTGCAGGAATTTTTGTGCTGATTTCTTACACAAAACTTCAGTGGGTCTGTGAGCAGAGCTTTAAACCTGCTTTGAGGAGACAGGCAGCGGATAGCCCTTCAGTATGGTACAGATAGTTCGATTTTATTTTTTTGGTTCTTTTTAACCAGCTTGAGAAAAGGTTTAAGTTACATTATTCTTTATTGATCCCTGTCACTGATCCCAAAACACATTTGTACAATTTCTCCAAGAAAGCCCAAATATAACCCTGTTGTCTACAGTAGATGTTATAAATGAGGGCATGTTGAAAACCTGGTTGCAGGTCACAGAATCCTCTCAAAGGGGCATTGATCCAGGTACCACTGCCCCTAGGGACTGAGATTGTGAAAATAACATATTGGATATATACCTTGAATACTGTACCTCCTCAGGGACAGAATGAGGATTTTGTTATAAGACCTTCTTTGTGATGTCCAAACTTCATTATACTCCTCTGTGTGAGCTGTTGATGATTGGCTATACACTGGGTTACTCATGTTCTGATGCTTGTTGATGCTTATGATTTACTGAGTTGTTACGCTGCTTTTTTGAATAATGGTTTGTAAACATATTTAGTTATATCATATGTTCAAGTGAGATGGATTTATTATAACACTACTGTATATTGACTGTAGAGGTTATATGGTTGGTACTGAAGCATGCTTACCGGTACCTTCATTTTAAAATCATCCTTGTGCAGCTTGATCCCAATATCTGCTATAGCCCTCTGGAAGAACCTGGACGGCCTCAGCACCAACACCAGCTGCAAGTTTCCTGGGAACGCCCCCTAGATGACACAACAACATGTGAACTTCACATGCTTTTTATTCAGGCTACACCACAGGCAGTGGACAAGTGCTGGGAATGTATGACACCTGTGAATGCATATTTGAAAATCTGACAGTGACAGGTCTGAGTTCATTTTAGCTCCACATGTCTGTGAGCTAGTTAGCAGCTGAGTCATAAGATATGAATAGCCAAACTCCAGATATATACTGTGCATCCTGCTGCTTGTCATTAAAAATCACATGAACTGAGAGTCACTGAAGTAACCGTAGCACGACATAAACTTCTATATAAAAACTGCAAATGCACACACATTGCTGCTACAGCGACTCATTTCTAAAAGGGTTACGTCTACATGCTTGTTAGTGGAGCAACCTGGCCTTAGACATTGCAAAACAGCAGAAATATGCAGTGTTAGCAAACCTGGTATATTCAGCAGAATGCAGCACTAATAAGAGGAATGTTACGACTGGCTACCACTGTCCAGAGTATCTACAACTAATTACGTTTTTTTTTGTTTTTGCAGTTTTTTGTTTGCTCAAATGTGTTCTCTAAGCTTGTGAAATACAAGTTTTACCTCTTTAGACCACTTAACTAGTTCACTATATCACATGAAATAATAATAATAATAAAAATGTATTTGATTGAACTGCTCACAACTCATTGCAATCTGTTATGAGGGCTCACAAGTATGGTTTTGTGGTAAGGGTTAGGAAGGAAAGTGTTAGTAAACCACTCATCTAGAGGACTTTCATTTTCCATAGACTGGCCCCTTGGGGACACAAATACATGTTACAAAACTGAGCTTTGGTACAGTCTTCTCCACAGAGCAGGGGAAAGACTAGTTCACCAAAAAAAAACCCCCAAACAAACAAAAATCTAAATCACAAAATAATATATAATATCTAGTTTAGGATATATATTATTCCTTAATGTCATATAAAATAGGCTACTAAACTATGAATAACACATAGTCTTTAATACAAATACTGTACAAATATTACGCACTTGTACAACAAAAACAACAAAAAATAAAAGTATGTGTGCAAAAGGTTATTGAAGTCATGAATTTTTTTTATTGCATAAAGCTTACTCTACTTTAACACATATGGTCCAAAGGCAAGATAACCAAAGAGAAGTCTAGCCTGAAAAGTCAATTTTAGAGCATAACCAGTCTTATAATACAGGGTCCGTTATTGATATGTGTGCACATAGAAGATACATAAATACTGTATTTATAGCTCTATAGGCAGGATTAAATACACATTCAACAATTCTGTAAATGACTTATGTTGGGGGTTTGTTTGGAAACACTTGATTAGATATAAATATCTTCATCTATATAGTATACCTATTTATATGGTTTGGTGAATACTATATATTATTGTCTTAGAGAACTTACTGCAATCCTGGATAGAGAGGCCTTCACTGAGCTCCATTTGTCCTTCCGCCGGTCGATGATGATGATGAAGCCGATGCTGGCGGCATCCAGGCTGGAGATAGGAGGTATAGAAGACATATAGCTCGACTGCTGCTTTGTGCATGTGTGTGGCTGTGGAAGCCGTGCAAATCAAATTCCCTAAAACTGGATGATTACTCCTCCTGTACATGCAGAGCTCAGCTGAAGAGCAGGATATCTTGCACATTTTAAGGAATAATACACCAATATATTTACACTGTGGAACTAGATTCTGTTCGAATCTTTGGGCAATGTCATCCATCTTTTAAGGCAATATTTGTATGTATTTAGTATATGCTACTCCGTGTGTATTGAATAATCTGTGCAATTATTTCTGTATGTTCTGTATACATGAAAGATGTATGTGTTTGTAACTCTACTTTTCTATTTCTTTTCTATCTTCCATTTTACTATTTTGATTTTATGTGTCACTGTTTTCATGGTGTGCTGTGTTGTGTCTTCAGCTGCTGTAACAAGCCAATGTCCTGGGTGTTGGATCAATAAAGTCTATCTTATCTCTCTTATCTTAATAGGTTCATTACTATGTGGTCATTTCCAAAACCATCAACTATCACAGTCTATCTGGAGGACATGAAGTAGTGATGTGTGTTAGCCAAGTTAAGCCCTAAACCTAAAACACAGCCTTATACACAACAACACAAAATCAACCAATGAGCGCCTAAAAGCCCTTTCTTTATTTCAGTTTTACTGTGTTTGTGTTTCTATGTTGTGTATTTCTAAATTACTGTGGGTGTCCAGGGTCACATAGTGTTTCTGTACAGACAAACTATACATTACACAGAGAAAAGGGAAAAAAGGAGCGAGTGTGTAGGATTTAGTGGCATCTAGCACGGAAGATTTCAAAAATGGAATTCTGCTCGCCTTCAAAGCATGAAGGGGCTGTGAAACGCACAAAAAAAGCAAAAGGCCCTATCTACAGCCAAGGTTTTTCCATTCTGGGCTACTGTAGAAACATGCAAGTTCAACTTGGCAGACTCCATGGAATGCGACCTGTGGCTCATTCTAAGGTAACAAAAACACAATTCCTAAATACTGGTGATTATACACTGATGAAAACATACCTATGAATATTATACTCCATTCCTGCCAAGAAAATCATCTTAAATGCTAGATACTGGAATTTTAAAAAAGGGGCCCAGCAGCTAATTTCTGCCCAGGGCCCTGTAGTGCGTTAATCTGGCTATGGCACTGCAGTACTTGATCTTATATGGCTTAGATATTAGTCCCCTCTGTTAAGCTGTAATGAGATTATTAGAAATGATCCCATCAGTGTAAATGCAATAGAAACCATTGCATCCTGAGCTATAGATACCATGTTGAGCCATTAGAGTAAATCACATTAAAACTTGTTCAATGTGACTCTGTTATGTTGGAGTGTGGTGGCACAAGGTATTTCATGATGTACAATGAGCAGAGTGAGGTCTTGTTTTGGCTAATGGGTGACTCAAGGAGCGAGAGTCTGATTATATGAGGGTACCACATTGAAAATGAAGTTGTATAAGAGTGTGTGTACCTGGGGATGCTGGTCAGGTAAGTAACAACATTGAGGAAGTCTTCCTCTGGCACTTCGCTGAAGCCTGAGTAGTCTGGGAAGGTGATGATGGGGGCGCCATCTTTTCCTCGCCCTCCTGCAACACAAAAACACTTACTTACTTACTATCCTTCCTTCTAGCATAAACTCACCCTTAAGTCTTACACTGCCTGGCAGCTTGTTCCAGTTTACCCTTAGTTTAAGCTTTATGATGTCTATGTGTTTATAGAAGAGGTCTTGTCGTGCTTCATTTATACACATTTCCCACAAATTCTGCCTGATTCTAATCTATGGTAATGTTTGAAACTGTTGGATCTGCACTAGAATTTCAAATAAAGTTAACTGTACTGACTGTTTTAGAAAAGTTAAAGAAACATCTACTTGAAGTAAATGAGAAACCAAACCTCTGTAAAAACAATATTTAAAGCCAGGAAGAAGGAACAGAAAGAAGGAAGGAAAACTCTTCTAAAGACGAAAATGTTCCCATCTAACACTTGTGCTTCCTCAAAAAAGTCACAAGATGGTGACCTTGAGCTACAAATCCTCTGCTGCCCCAGATAAAATATTCCCTGTTACTTGTGGAGAGAATGTGTGTCATTTTAAATTCATTTTGACTTAAAAACAAACCTTTTTTTGGTCTGACGAACACACACATTTCACACATTTATTGTCTCTGCTCTGTCACCTGCAATCTCACCAATCATCTTTCAGCCGCACACATCCATCTACCAGACGTGCTGCAGGAGGAGTGGAATGTGTGCGTCATCTCACATATAAGGCCTCTGTAATGTATGAAAGCATTGCAGTGTCATACTGACCTAGTCGCAAGGTGATTGGAATATATATTACAGGCTCTATGAGACCAGGTACCAGGGCTTTTATTTGCCTCAGTAGCAGAGGCATGCTGGTATTAGATAAATATTTCTGATCATATTAGTAAGAAACCTTATTTTGTTCTGATCTGCTGCCATTTGCCTCATGTATATGTCTCAAACACCAGCTTTTTAAGACCCTAATTTTGTGTTAAAAAAAAAAAAAAAAAAATAAAAAAAAAAAATAAATATTTTTTTTTTTTATATTATTTATAAAAAAAGAAAAACCTAACAGAAAAGTAACACAATAAGTTTGTCTTAAATGATTTTTGTGAATCTTGGTTAAATGCTGAGATATAGGCCTACTGTATATATGTTTTAAGTTTTCTTACACCCATTCAAATAAAAAAAGGTCCACTGTGAAGCTTTGGCGACACCTAGTGGGGGTTCCCCCCAGAGCCCATTGCCACCTTTGGCTGAGCTACCCTTCTGGATATAAAAAGATTTATGTTTGCTGTTGTGGCTGCATAATAATTGCTAAAGTTAGACAAAATTAAATCACCATATCATCCAAACTTGTATTACTTTTTTATAAGCATGCCTCCATATGACACTGTAGCATCCAAATTTGGCATTGGCTCCACTGTGTGAGGGCTCCTTGTGAGTCTTTTGAAGTTGTGGAAATGATTATCGACTAAAGGTATAACCAATGTTAATTAAAAACTTAAAAACATTCCAAACAATACACAGCTTGTAATGATTCTATGTCCTTTTTTCAGGTTAGAGCAAAAGCCAGAGTTATTAAGATGGTGAATATGTTTGAAGCAGTATGCAACTGATCACCAATTTGCAGCTCTGTGTCTGCAGCTAATAACACAAAGGTAATTCAACACACAGAAAAAGCTAGAAAAGCTAGAATGAACATACTGATATCATATGAAACTAGATAATGCATCCAAGTGCCCCCTTTGCCGACATGCCCACTAATCCCATGCAGTTTGGGCCAAAAAACATGCAGTCTTTTGCATGTGGTATAAATGTTATTTTCACTTAGTGTATTTGAATATTTTTGCATACTGAGGTCCATAAACAGTACTGGAATTGTATAAATTGGGGATGACTGGAAAGCTGAGACACATACTTCATGCCTGCATATGTCAGAGCCCTGCCTAGTCAAAAAAGTTGGACACGCCCCTAAAGAGCACCACCTGAAGACGGTCAAAGATATCACATTGCTAGGTATGCTGTGTGAGAGGAAGATGAAACAGGGACTTAACCAGTGTAAGTGAAGAATGGTTCCAGTTCACATGTTGACAAATTGTATGTAAAGGAAAAGACAAAAATAATCCAGCCAAAGGATCATACCATGCTAACCCACATCCTACTGAGCAGGCACACACATACTCACAACACACAGCACACACACGTGGTGAAAGCCATAAACCAGGCCTGTGTTGAACTTATGTAACTCTGGAGGCAAGTAATGCTGAGAGAGGGATTTTTGGAAACAGTTGTTATTTTGGCTGCTGTGAGAGGACTGGGAGAAAGAATGAAAGGCATCCCTGGAGAACCACACGCAGGCTGCTGTGCCACCGGTAACAACACATCTGGAAAGTCTGAGGGCACCCAGCTGCAATATTCCTGTCTGAACTCTAAAAAAAATGACTTCACTTTCTTTCCAGCGGCTGGATTGCAGTGAACACTTCCCAATATACAAACACATCCATGTAGAACCAGTGGAGACTTTCACATGGGAGTGTGAGCAGCTGTGGTGGTGGAAAGCACTCTCAGGAGGGATAAACTCAGCTGTTCACTCTAAATTGGGCCGCTCGTGCCAAAGAAAATTTTAAGTATCATAAAAAAAAAATCTTGATTAAGCAGCTTTTACTCGTAATTTTAAGTTACACTAAAACAGTTTTTCTGAGTTACAGAAACATCCCTGATTAAGTTCTTTTTACCAGGTATTTTGTTACAAAATTAAGTCAGTGTCAAAAATTACTAAACATACTTGAACAAGAACCTACATTTTTACACAAATATCCATACTTTCTACTCCTTATAGGCTCAGTACTTTAGTTTCAATGCAAATGAAGAGAATTATCAGACATAAGACGACAAAACCAATGTAACAAGACGAAACAGACCAGAGTGAGACCCTGTTTGAAGTTTCAGTTAGCTTTGCACAGAAAGAAATGTCCTTCAGAAAAACCAAGAGAGTTCTTCCTACTATAATACTGTGAGTACATTTCAGTACTTTCTCCCTTTTACTTGAGTAAAGAATCAGTAGAGTCTTTCTTTACACAAGTATCTGTACTTCTACAAGAATAAAGAATGTGTGAACTTTTGCTGCCTCTGGTAATCCATCCAATAGTTTTATTAAATATTGGAGATATTTAAGTCTGGACCAAAGTCGCAGACTGACCTGCCATCCCTACAGCCTTGTTGCTAGAGTGGCTTAAATCACTTAAAATCATGCAAACCTGATGTATCTGTAGAGTGTGAGAGAAAATCTCTACTCAGTATCCTTTACCATCAGAGTATTAAGACATAAAGGACATTATCCTTGCAACAATTGTGCCTAATGTCAAAACACATAGAAAACCAATGAGTACAGGTTGAAGATACCGCAGTTATTACATGCAAGTCAGAAAATGGAATTTATAGGTGTAAATGTCCATCTGATAAAGTTAACACTGGCAAAACAAAACAATCTCTTAGACAGCAAATCACTGAATACAAAAGCTCAAATCATCCTATATGAATGATGAAAATTCCCCTTCTGTTTCTTCTCTTTGGATGCAGGGCATGGACACTGCAAGAAAATTCTATTTTTTGTCAAAAAAAAAGATAATCTCTGCATGTTTTGCAGTAGAAAAGTAATCTGGTTTTAAGACTTTACCTTTGTCTTCATAATATATTAGAGCTAACATTGAGCTTGATTTAACCCAGTAACAACAATGGTATGATATAATATCCCAGCAGAGAACAAGATTATTTTCTTTATTTTCAGAGTAAGACCACTTGCACAACTTCTCAGTTTAAGAGAAATTAGTCTCGTCCCAGTGTTGTAAATAAAGCAGCTCTTTAGTTGTTGTTTTAATAAAAAAATATACAAAATGATTTGCTTAATACAAGAAAAAAATTGTTATAATTAAGAATATTTGGCTTATTTCTAGAAGGGGTGTTTTTGCCGTGGATCTATACAGGATGGGACAGTGAATGCACATTATGCCAGAGAGAGTTGTGTTGAATCCATCCTGCAGGGACCCTGCATCCATTGGGTTTAAATGACTGACAAACATGACTGAAATTTCTTTCTTTTATGGATGTGAACAGACTAGTGGTTCCCTGTTTGGTTTGTGTCCCCTTTAAAGTCACAGTGAAACAGAAGTTAGAGCATCTTCAGGGACACAGGAGTAGAACTCGGAAATGTCATTTTTGTGAAATATGCTTATTCACTGTCTTAAAGAGGACCAACCAAGCAGCTGTTTTACTCATTAAGCCCTTTCTTCTGTGACTTGTAATACAACCCAACAGAAACATAACACCAGCTTAGAAACTGCTGGGAATGTATCAGAGGGATTAAAAGTGAAATTCTGAGTTCCAGTGTAGTGAGAAGTAAAAAGTGGCACTGTGAATAAGAGGATGTTGGCATTAATCTCAAATACTGTTTGAGGTGGACGAGAGCTTGTTGCCATTTATTGAGCGAAATGAAGGTGGAGACGAGATACAGAATATTGCAACATGCAGCACAGACCAGGACAGAATTCTGATTTTGGCACCTTTTGCCACCAAACTAGGGAAGAGTGGGGTCTGTAACATACTCTGTAGACTACAGGGCAAGATAAATATCATTTGTTCTAGCTCTGTTCTAGTAAAAATTTATAATAACATCCAAAAGACACTGAAAGCCACAGGGAACCAATATTTGCTGAAACTTTTACAATGTCCTGACACTAGTACATGAGACAGATAATCTGTAAACAATCAGGTCCCTCTGGCTCCTCCTAGTGCTGCTAATGCCATTTGCAAGAATCCACTAGGCCTGAATTAAAACAACCAATCAGAGCTCAGAAATATAGTTGATTGTTGAGTCTTCCAAACCATCAGTGGTTGATAACCTGAGAATGAGACAGCAGAGTCTTGTTACATACCTGAGAGCAAGGCAAACTGGCGATGAAGCTGCTCTATGATGTCCACAGCCAGCAGGGGCCTGATCTCCTGCTGCATGATCTCATCTGTAAGGAGGGACACACTGGTCAGATAGAGCCAGATACACAGTGAGGCAAACACACAAGCACACAGTGAGAGTTCTCCTCTCCCCGCTGAAGACTCTATTTCAAATCTAAAAAGAAACAGTACATCTGGAGTGTAAAGAAAATCAAACAGAGGACTAACTAGAGACTAGAAAGCTAGGAGACAAGAAAACATAAAATAAAACAAAATAATAAATCAGAACCAAAGTGATCAGTCTGCTCTCTGAGCCAAAGAACAGAGATACATACTGTACCGATGACAACATTTCTTCTCATTTCATCTCTCCACAACTAGAGCCAGCTCTTATCCAGTGCATCACATTATTCCAGATTCAGTAAAAAAAGGAAAACTGCTGCACTATGTTTCATGGAGCATTCACAACCCACTACAAAACAACAAATGTTGGACAAACTGAACAAAATATGTCGCTCCTCATAGAGCCCTAGGGGTGTGGGGATAAAAATATTATATTTGTCCCAATGACGGTGTAAGAGGAAAGGTCATAGTGTGATTAAAACCAGAAGGGTTTATCATCAGCACAGCAAATGTTAGGATATGGTGGACAACAAGGAGTCTGAGTCAACAAAATGTATCTTCTGGGGGCAATGAGAATTCATACCCAATGTCAGTCTAACCAGTAGGTACGAATGAATGTAGTCTGGTCCCAGTCCTTTTCATTACTGTCCACATCTCAGATGTTCTGCTGTGATCATTGAGAACTGCTGAAGGACTGTGACAGTATGTGGGTATGTGACACCAGGGGAAAGAGCACAGGCTGTATAGGATGATGGTCAGGCCTCACCTCTACCTGAACCAACGTAACGTAAACACTTTCATCCCATGGCTTCTTTTATGTTTTGAAACTGCTGCGCTTCAGGGTCACATGATTTAGCAGTTGTTTTCTACCTCATTTAGAACATATTCTTTGGTTATATCCTGCCATTACATGTAGCCTATTCTGGAACTACCCATTCCTGACTGGCGTTCACATTAGACGCATATAGGAAACTAGAACAAAGCATTATCAGACATGGCTTTAAGACTGTGTGTGTGTGTGTGTGTGTGTGTGCGTGTATCCATGCATTTGAGCCTTCCCTGCTCTGATGTAATGATTATTATGGTTCCCCTGCAGCCTGAAGCTCTAAGCGCTGTGCACGGTGAACAAACCTTTCTCTGTCACTGAGAATAAAGACGTGCATTAACACTGACTGTACTTTATTACTCGGAAACACGCTTGGCTAGGTTGTGTGCTGGTGGGGGCGGAGACAGACAGAAGAAGGGGAGCACAATGGCTGCTAGTGAGCCTGGCCTTTAATGGAGGCAATATCAATGTACCTCTGTTCTAAGTATCTGCTGACCTACCAAGGATATTCAAAATACAGCTCCCATTTCAGCCTGCTCTACTTAGAGATGTTTGGTTTGGAGAGTTTTGCTGATCACACTCCACACAAAATCTGTCTTTTGAACATCTCCAAACGGAACCACACAATTAATTACAGACAGAAGGCTAAGACTGTGCAGATCTGATTAATGTCATAGAACATGATGTGAAACTGGAGGCCGACAGCTCATGCTAAACCTTGGATACAGCAGAAACTCACAACCCACTTACTATCTACTTCCCTCAACAGATGGACTTTATGCTATATGTGGACCATGGGATAGATTGTTTTTGTCAAACAAAACTGATGAATGTCTTCAAACCTAAAAGCTGTATTTTTGCATTATTTGAATATTTCTACATACTGTGGTCCATAAACACTCCTCTTCTGACAACCACAAGCACATTGAAGGAAGTTTCATATACTGTAGGTGAAAATGTAGTGTAACATTAATCTTTGATGGAATAAAATTACATTAATTTATCTTGTATTTATCGGTTTGTTGGGCGTACATATGGAAATCAATTTTCAAGGAGGAAGCAAACTTTGGAAAAAAAACATGCACAAACACTGTGAATAAAAAGAGGAATGAGGCAGGGGATCTTGGAAGTGTTGTCTAGCTGTTCAGGAACATATCAGCAGGGTTATGCAACCAGAACCCAGCACCTAGGCACGGAGGATGTTCTGTATTGTTGGAACATCAAAGTAGAGGAGCGGTGCAGACATGACCACTTCAGAAACAATCTGTTTTTAGAAACTGATGGAGGGCTGAAGAGGCCGAGGGTAAGTGCAGGAAGCACTCGTATAAGCAGACATCAGGTTGAGTTACAGACACCAGTGCAAAAACTAATGGAAGCAGTGGGATTCTTGATAGGGGAGATTAAGTTTAGAGGCTTGAGTTGAGGAAGTAACGTGCCATGGTTTCTGTAGATGTTTTGGACAACTACAATTAGCTGCTAGCTAGTTAGCGGTCATTTGTTTCTATATTGGGCAGCTACTCCTGTTCAGTCCAACCACAATTATGGTCCCATGAGAAAAGCTGTAAAGCCTGAAAAGCCTCTTGAAAGGCTGGGACATTCCTTACAAAGACAAAGGGAGTTCCTACTTAGACAGTATGAGAACACTCAAAGATGAATGACTGCTTCGGAGAGATAAGGTAAGGTATGCTGAAAATAAAGATACTTCTTCCTCTCATAGAGCCTGTTTACACCTGGTATTAAAATGCTTGGTCTTGCGTGATCGGATCACAAGTGCACAGCTCTAAATATAAGTTTAATTGACCACCAAGACGCATCGTGATCACTCAAACCACTCACTTCTTTGTCATCTTTGTCAAAACATCAGATTTCCACACATTCAGAGAAAGTAAAAGTGTGTGTGCTGCTCATATAGTTAGAAAATCCCACAGCAGAGCATCTCTCCTGGAGGGCTGCTGATAGTGCAGGTAAGACATGTGACTATAGGAGTTTAGTGTGAACTGAAAAAGCCCTATAGTGTTTATTTGCATACAGAGCGGCAAAGTGAGATCCTAGTCACGTGGGACACATGAGATGTATTCTAATGCCAGGTGTGAATTGTACTTAAAGGTCCTGACACACCAATGTTGGGCTGTCTGTAGCTATAGTTTCTGCGCTGTTGCCCCCGTCGGCACTTGTCAGTTCTCCTCTGCGGCTTCTCTGGCGGGAAAGAGCCTGTTGAATCGGGGACCGTCGGTGAAAAGAAATCAGTCTCCTTGGCTGTTCAGCATCAGCGTGGTATGTAGTTGTTGGTCGTTTACTGCACTCACTTTATTGCCAGGTGTAAACAGGACCTTAGAGTTCTGTACCGGAACCTAAATGCAACAGTGTATCAGTCTCCCCTCCTCAGGCACAACACAGTACATATGCCACAATAAAACAGCAGTAGAACCACTGATCTGGTCTTGGAAGGCAGTTCCAGGAATCAGGTGCCAACCGACTGAGCTGTAATACACATGGCTGATTCTCTGCCAACTTGTCACATGTCTGAACTCCATGTTCCTATGGCAACACACTGATGGTGCCAACACTATCTCACCCCATGTCTACACACGTACACACCTTAGTTGTCACCTTCATCCATCTGCTCTAAATATAATAAGGATTAAGCAGCATGCTCTCACACGCTGTCACTGCTGCTGCTGCTGGTATTCACACACAGACCGAGCTCAACATTTGGGAATTAACCTAATCAGAAACACAGCGTGAATTCTGGCTAAGACTAAAACCATCTTAGGTTAAATACGGTGGCACAATGGCGACTTTTCATTGCAGTTTTTTGCTTACAATCCACAGTTTTAGTTATTTTATCACATTAAATATAAAAATAATATTAATAATATTTTAAGCATTTCAATATGAAGAAATGAAGCTATGTAGTATTCTCTTCTCTAAAAGGTGTCGTCCCAGCCATGCATTAATTTTATCACTCATTTCCTCCTTATCCTGATTCCTCCATAGGCTAAACTACCGGCGTCAACACTTTTATAAGCACTATTGCATATTTGCTTTGCTCTATCACAGAGGCACAGAGCAGCATTTGTGTTTAATTTAAAAGTTTAAAACAAAATGATTTTGCAGAGCTTTATTGTAATACAGAAGCATCCAGTAGCAGTGGCCTGGGGAGTTCCAGTCCAGCATATGGACCAATCAGTGGAGTATGGACTGGTAGCTGTTACTTTTATCTTTTAACCATCTTCAAAATGTGGTTGTCTTTTTAACAGAGATGAGCCTAGCACATAGCATATCTAAGTACAAGTACGAGAAAGGAGAAATTCTCAATTGCATGTGTAAAAATGTAAACGAATGAATTTCCTTGAGGTGGCAAATAAAGTAATTCTATTCTACTACTGACCTTTTTGACTGCAGCCATTTAGTCCTGAAATACTGAACCTTAATCAGAATCCCTGGTAACACCTGGGCTGACGGCAGCAAGTCTGTGTTTATTTGCCCCAAACATCCAATGTACTGACTGCACACACACTGACTGTAAGATAGCTCGGAAAATACACATACTGACCGTGTGTGTGTGTGTGTGTGTGTATGTGTGTGTGTGTGTGGTGCTGCTATGTCTCTGAACTCACCAGGAGCTCCCGTTCTTTGTTATTTTCCTTCAGTCGCTCTCGCTGCTTTTTAGTCTCGTCTCATAAAGAGCCATAAAATTGCTCAAACATTATATACTGCTAGCATGGAGCCTATCATTTACTGTGTTTGTTGAAACGCTAGCATGAAGCCTATCCTACTCTGTTGTCCCGGTGAGTTTATTACCACCATTGCAGACACATCAATGTTTAACAAAAGCACTAGGTATAAGGCACTGATCCCTCAGGCCGAGAAGCAGAAATGTCTCTTTACTTTTTAAAAACACCTTATTATGCTTTGGAAAGACCCTTCAAGATCCTTGAAACTTAAAAGGGACCATCACAGAAAGCACAAGTACTTCACTAGCTACCTAAACTGCATCATCAGCCATTCAAAAGTAAAAGGAAATACTTTGTAAACTACATCACCTAACCAGCAGACTGCAATGGAAAAGAATGGTGGAATGGAAAAAAGATGACACCAGACAGAGAGAAGCATTGC